TGTAACGTGGGTGATATCTTTGAACAATAGATCTACTTATACAAAGTATATTAATATCACTTGTGTGTTATCAGTAAAGTTATCGGAGGTCAACACGACAGGTCGTTGCAGTCGGACTATACAAATTATGACTGTATTTCTTCAGGTTGGTAAGTATAAATTATAGAAAGGTTATGTAGCACAACCAGTAAGTGATTGTGATACATCACTTTCCACAACAAGTAACCAGGTTAAAATCCTATCTATCAAGCCTGTGTGCTCATTATTGGGAGACGGCGAAAAAAGGGGTTTTACATGAATATTGCTTCAACTGTGAAAATGAAAAAATAAAATAATGACAGTTTTCAAAATCCAATGATGACAATTGCAAAAAGGTAAAAAGATATTTTTTCACAATGATAATCATCATCAATTATAACTTTTCAATGTAAAATGTCATCATTTTTTTCAGAAAAGTAGATGGCAATGATTTTTTTGTTAGGATTTGTTGTTAAAGCTACACCATAAGGAAGAAATTTTCTCAAATATACATATATAAATGATAAAAAATTTACACCCTTGTACTGGCTTGGCGTTACAAATCGGAATTAAATCCACAGACAGCAGAGCTACATCTTGAATTCTAATTTGTTACCCAATCAGGGCAAAATTTCAGACACTTCCTATCACTCAAGAAACACATACACACTCGCACACACTAATAAGCCCACTCACACATATATCTTTTATTCCACTTTAAATGTGACGGACATAGCAACGAGTCTTCAGAGACAGAACTAAAACTGTTAGCATTAACCCTCATTTCATCGGTGAAAGTGCACCAGAACATGTCATGTATAAATTAACTGTAAATACATAATGTTTTATCAGAACAGCTAAAATCTTTATTTCCTTAAAACAATCTAATTGAGTATTTTATATTTCAAATTTGTATTCTTAACATTAGAATAAAAAAGAATTATCAATAAAAGACATAGCACTTTAACATTGCACTTTCCCTTCTTTCTCATTATTTTTCAGTCTTTATTATTATTTTTGCTTGAAACATAAAACTCATCACTTGGTAAACAAGTAATTAAAAACGCTTTCCCCACCCCCAAAGAACAGACAACCTTGTCTATATCAACCAATATATATCCAACCACTCACAAAGAATATTCAATTTTGCACTTTTGTCATACAACGAGTGTGTTATGTGGCTGCTAACATACCTAGCATTTGACAGTCCAGAGAAATAGTTTGTTTGCGTTCCAGAGAAATAGTATGTTTGCAGTCCTGAGAAATAGTTTGTTTGCAGTCCAGAGAAATAGTTTGTTTGCGGTCCAGAGAAATGGGGTTTTTTTGCGGTCCAGACATAATTTGTTTGTGGTTCAGAGAAATAGTTTGTTTACGGTCCAGAGAAATAGTTTGTTTGCTGTCCAGAGAAATATTTTGTTTGCAGCCTAGAGAAAAAGTTTGTTTGCAGCCGAAAGAAAGTCTGTAAGTGGTGCTGAGATATGCTCAGAAATCTAAGAAATATTGAATAAATTAGTTCTAGAAATTATCTGTCTTTTCTTGTATGTTGTGTTTAAAATGTACATAAATATCCAAGGTAAATAATGTGGAATTCCTATCTAATTCAAACTATTAAAACCAAGTTGCTCACATCAGACAAAAATCAAATCTACAACATTTTTAAAATGTTATATTTTCTTAAAACAAAATTGTAAAATATGAGCTATCCAAATGTTTGCTATTTCAGCTTTTACTAGTAACAATTTTCCTTAGTTTATATAAAAAGAAAAATGATTGTTTTTGACCTTTGTAGAATAACATAATTGGAGAAAGATCTTATGGTTAAAGGTAAAAGTTAAAAATAAAAACTGTTACCCTATTTCACTTGTAATGAGCTCGTGTTCTGGATTAGCTAAACACAAAGGAGAGTGTAGGCGTATCCCCCAAAAGAGAAAGCAAACCTCCTTTTTTCATTTCTTTTTTTTTTGTAGGAGAAATCAAACATTTTAAAACAATAGAAACAGTTATGTACAAAACATTGATTTCTTGCATCAAACAAACTATTGTCATATGTATTTACATGGAATTGGTGAATAAATATAAAAATAGAAATTTGTAATGAATATTATACAACAATGTTAAGCGTGAGTATATAACGAAACTATTTACAGACCATTCAATACCGTAAATCTACTGTATTTCGTGCTATGTTATTCTCATGTTCATTTGCAAGGACAGGCATTCCCCAATTCAAAGATCTTGTCAAATTGTATTCAAACAAAGTAAAGGTAGAGGGTGTCAGCGTTCTTTTTGATCTCCAATGAAGGAGAGCTTTCTGACTCAGAGTTGTTTGCTCTTTTACATAAAAGAGTTAAATTCAAAAGAATTATATCTTATAATTTTCTTTTTCACGAAAACACCGCTGCCATTGGGATTTGAACCCTAGACCTCTCCATTAATCAAACAAGGTGCTTAAACTGTGGGCTACTTGTCAGGGTGTATGTCGGATATGCTAATACCTATATCTGTAGCACTACCGATTATTTTCCATTCAATTTCAACTGCCCTAAAATGCTATGCATCAATTACATTAATTTCACAGGAAAATTACTCTCCATAGTCTGTCTATGCTGGAAAAGTTGAGGGACTCTCTACCTGAAATAACTAACTTATGGCTGTTGTATTTCCTTTCCTGTATTAAAATCCCAAGTGGTTAAGGCGTCCGACCGTCTACGATCACAAGGCCTTCACCACTTGGGTATGGGTTGGAGGCTTATACAGGACAGTTGCCAGGTACTGGCAGCAGGTCAGTAATTTTTCTCCGGGTAATCCGGTTTTCCTCCATGACCAAAACCTGGCAAATCCTTAAATGACCATAGCTGTTAATGGGACATAAAACACTAACAAACCAAACCTTGTCAATTAGTTGTTGTGAATTTGTTGTCGGAAGAACATGAAAATAAGTTTACACGAAATGTAAGTTTTAGATAATAATTAACATCATATATATATGCTGGTGTATTTTATCTGTACAGTAACAAGTCTTTACCTTAATACTTCAGTACTCTAAAAGAGACATATTTTCTCTGGTCATTGTATTCTTTTCTCTCTTAAAAAATAAATATTAAAAAAATATTGATACAACTCCAGCATATATATATACTCATACATGTTTCTGTATGTCTGATATTTCATACATACATGACATTTTTTTTTTTTTTTAATTTACGGAATAATTGACGTTTTTTTTTAAATGTCTCAAGTATATGCATGTAATAAAATAAGGTTATAACAACTGGGCTCTCACTTGTCAAATCAATAATGGTTTGTATTATAAAAAAAAAAAATTGTAAAAAAAGTCAACAAGCTGATTATTAATTGAAAACTTCTGGCTGTCACATGTGACTGAATATTGACAATTTAATGGCCATCTCATGAAATGTTTTATGACCCAACTCTTTAAAACACGGTTTGAATTTTTTACAGTTTATTTCCGTACCTTCATGAACACACAACATCCAAGTATCGAGTTCCGAGACGACAAATAAAACAAAGAAGAGTGCCGGCCAGAGATCTTATTATCAATAAATCACTCTAACAGCTTTTATCTCCTGTTAAACTTATCACAAATTTCTAAAAACAAAAAGGGAATAAAAACAGATAAAAAATGGTGGTATATATCTATATATATATATATGTATATATATTGACAGGTGGCTTACTTTTGGTGGTGGCCAAAAGAAAAAAAAAGAAAAAAATAGCATTTAGCACCGAGATGCTGATTTTATCTAGAGATCCTATCACTGACATCGGCAGTCAACTCAACGCACCTTCTAAAAAACTACCATACTCTTCCAGTTGGTTAACTCCATTTAATCATGCATCGGTTCTCAACTTGAAAAGGGTTGTAAAAAACTTAAAATACACCTCTAACACGTTTCACAAACAAACTACCACTTGTGTGAAGTAATTATGACTTGAGTGGGTGGAGTAATGAAGAGGTGAAGCTATGTACTGTAAAACCTGTTCAACATTGTTATTTTTATCACAAGTTTATGTAGAAGAGCCAGTCTTCTTCAGGATGAAAAAAACAAACTGTTAAAAGCTTTCTTGCATATCGTATTTACAATTTTTACCTGTACAGGTATGTTTAACAGTTTATCTAAACAGAGGTATTCTTACTGGTTTTTTTCTTTACACACGTGCATTTACCTACAGTTTACTTGTAACCATGTACCTTCAGTTTACCTGTAACCATGTACCTTCAGCTTACCTGTACAGAAGTACCTACAGTTTACCTGTACAGAGTTTCCCGCTGACTACATGTACACATGTATTTTCAGTTTACCTGCTCACGTGTGTATTTATAGTTTACCTGTACCCATGTGTATTCACAGTTTACCTGTACACATGTGTATTTTAGTTTACCTGTACAAAGGTGTATTAACAGTTTACCTGTACACATGTGTATTCACAGTTTACCTGTACACATGTGTATTCAGTTTACCTGTCCACATGTGTATTCAGTTTACCTGAACACATGTGTATTCAGTTTACCTATACACATGTGTATTTTAGTTTACCAGTAAACATGTGTATTCACAGTTTAGCTGTTCACATGTGCATTCACAGTTTATCTGTACACATGTGTATTCACAGTTTCCCTGTACACATGTGTATTCAGTTTACTTGTACACATGTGTATTCAGTTTACCTGTCCACATGTGTATTCAGTTTACCTGTCCACATGTGTATTCAGTTTACCTGTACACATGTGTAATTTAGTTTACCTGTAAACATGTGTACTCACAGTTTACCTGTTCACATGTGTATTCAGTTGACCTGTGTACATGTGTATTCACAGTTTACCTGTACCCATGTGTATTCAGTTTACCTGTATACATGCGTATTCACAGTTTACCTGTACACATGCGTATTCACAGTTTAACTGTACACATTTGTATTTTAGTTTAACTGTACACATGTGTATTTTAGTTAAACTGTACACATGTGTATTCACAGCTTACCTGTACACATGTGTATTCAGTTTCCCTGTCCACATGTGTATTCACAGTTTACCGGTACACATGTGTATTTTAGTTTAACTGTACACATGAGTATTCACAGTTTACCTGTACACATGCGTATTCACAGTTTAACTGTACACATGTGTATTCACAGTTTACCTGTACATGTGTGTATTTACAGAAAACACACACATTCATAACAAATCAGCCCCTAGTATGTGCCAAATGGCTTACTGATGAGCTCTTTGTTGTGCATCAAAAGCGTATTTGGCTGTGTATGTTCTGGTACAATGTAACTAGACACACAATACTACAAAATACCTTATCTTACATCCACTTCTCTCAGTATCCATTCAACTTACCAGACATTTTGACATCTGAACATATTCTTTGAATATGTTTAACTTGCAAAATGTGGCTCCAAGAACTTGCATTGTTTCATTGTAAAATTGCCATTTTAAGAAACTCTGCCAGACAGATATACCTCTGTGTGCTAGCACTATTGGGGCGGCATTCATTGGGATACCTTCGTACTTCAGAGCACACAACAAACCTAAAAGTCGGTGATCTCAATCTGGTCTGTCTGAACTGTATATATATACAAAACAATCATAATTAACAAAGTTTAATCACAGTTCTTCTGAGTCATCCATGTCGTTCGGACTGACGGGTTGTGAAGACAGCATTGGGTCAATACCCAACGGAGATGTATCGTCCATTAAATCGTCCAACAGATGATGAGTCTGACTATGTGTCTCTAGTGGCGCCAAGGTAACGGCTGGTGACAAATTTTGTGTGTTAGTCAGAGTCATTGAAATGTTTTGCTGCTGTTGAATCTGATGAGATGCATTGCTTTGCATGATGAAGTTGTCAATATCGTCTTGCATGCCGGAGGTCATGCCCTGTGCTTGCATGAGAAGCTCCAATTGCTGAAACAGAATGAAACGTGATGTCAGCATACAGCTTATAAAAGTGTAGATCATCGAGTAGTGTATAACCATTCTTACAAATCGCGATGATTTGAAGGACTTTATAAGCTCTTTTGGGTTTTTTTGTGAACATGATTTAAATCATGATATAAATAATGGTTTCTTAATTATTCATTTTTTAAGAAAGAAAAGATTGGATGATATATATTCCCGGCAGCTTACGAAATATTGAAAAAAGATAAAAAGAATTTAATATTCCTCTTGACATCATGCACACAAAAGAGAAATGTTATTTTGATCAATAACCCATAATGCCTGGAAAGTGTTTTATTAAGTCACTAAATTAAAAAAGGTTTTAGTAAGTCATTAAGTTAAAAAAGAAATATATTTTGAGCACATTCTCACTGATGTGAAAGACATCTCAAGCTATTTTTTCACTTTTAAAAAGCTATAAAAGAAATTACAGAAATCAACGATAAGCACATTTCCACTTTTAAACTGTTGGAGGATTAAATTTTGCCGAGGCGCTGATAAGCAAGTTAGATTTGTTTACCTGGATGCGGAGAAGCATCTTCCTGTTGGTCTGTTCCAAGCCACGCTGTCGGTCCTCTAGCTGTCGGTTCCTCTCCTGGTCCTTCTTTAGCCTCCTAATGTAATCTACAGAAGCCTTGAGAATGGTGCCTTTATTCTGTCGCAAATCCCTGTATAATAGAGATTCAGGTTTACATTCCCTTACAATCACAAACACGTGAGTTTTAATATCTTATCACCGAATAGGTTCATTCAAAATACATGTTAAGAAGTTTTCATATTTTACTTCATTTTTCTTTCTGTTAAAAGTTTAAACAATATACACAAGCAATTTGGATTGATATGTCTCGCCTGTGCCCCGCTTTGAACATCAATGCACATATCAAGTTTGGTTGGTCCGACACACTAAAACAGCCTGAGAGACTGAGGGCTACCCTATAGTCCACATATAATGTACTGATAGTCTGATAGAGGGCTAATAATTCTGATGGAGAAAAAAAAACCAGAACACACTTAAACAGTCTGAGAGACTGAGGGCTACCCTATTGTCCTGACCGGTTATACAGATAGTCTGATAGGGGGCTAATAATTCTGTTGGAGAAAAAAAAACCAGAACACACTTAAACAGTCTGAGAGACTGAAGGCTACCCTATAGTCCACATATAATGTACTGATAGTCTGATAGGGGGCTAATAATTCTGATGAAGAAAAAACCAAAACAGAACACAGTGACAGGCTGAGGGCAGCCCTATTGTCCCAACTGGTTGTACGGATGGTCTGATAGGGGGCTAATAATGAAAAAAAAAACAGAACACACTGAAACAGTCTGATAGACTGATCGAGGGCTACCCTATAGTCGACTTAGGATGTACTGATAGTCCTATAGGGGACAAATAATTCTGAGGGACGAATAAAGAAACTGGACACACTGAAAACAAATATACTATTATTTTAATAATTGAACTGGCTTTGACGATCACTATTGTTAGTGTCAAACTAGTACATAGTCATTTACTGATTTATTAAAATCGTAAACTAGCCACGTAGGACAGGAGTAACAAAGGCGATATATCACAATTAATTACCGAGACAGACATCTACAAAATGTTGACCCGAAACATGAGTAATAATGAACTTAAATGTTTACACTCGGGGGTGTTTTGTCTGACACTATCGTAAACAGCTGTTACACATGGCTGTCAAATGGAGAGGTCATTGACTAGAATCACCTTTGATCAATGACTGTAATTCTCTTGTTATAAGCCCATGTTTGTACTGTAGTTAACCCTGTTATAAGCCCATGTTTGTATTGTAGTTTACCCTGTTATAAGCCCATGTTTGTACTGTAGTTAACCCTGTTATAAGCCCATGTTTGTACTGTAGTTCACCCTGTTATAAGCCCATGTTTGTACTGTAGTTCACCCTGTTATAAGCCCATGTTTGTATTGTAATTCACCCTGGTATAAGCCCATGTTTGTACTGTAGTTTACCCTGTTATAAGCCCATGTTTGTATTGTAATTCACCCTGTTATAAGCCCATGTTTGTACTGTAGTTCACCCTGGTATAAGCCCATGTTTGTACTGTAGTTCACCCTGTTATAAGCGCACGTTTGTACTGTAGTTCACCGTTATAAGCCCATGTTTGTACTGTAGGTCACCCTGTTATAAGCCCATGTTTGTACTGTAGTTCACCCTGTTATAAGCGCACGTTTGTACTGTAGTTCACCGTTATAAGCCCATGTTTGTACTGTAGGTCGCCCTGTTATAAGCCCATGTTTGTACTGTAGTTAACACTGTTATAACCCCATGTTTGTACTGTAGTTTACCCTATTATAAGCCCGTGTTTGTATTGTAGTTAACCCTGTTATAAGCCCATGTTTGTATTGTAATTCACCCTGGTATAAGCCCATGTTTGTACTGTAGTTAACACTGTTATAACCCCATGTTTGTACTGTAGTTTCCCCTGTTATAAGCCCGTGTTTGTATTGTAGTTAACCCTGTTATAAGCCCATGTTGTACTGTAGTTAACCATGTTATAAGCCCATGTTTGTACTGTAGTTAACCTTGTTATAAGCCCATGTTCAGGTTATTTTTGACATTTTCAAGACAGTGAGTCAAATTTATCATAAATTCTTTATGATCATATAAAACTTCATGGGCAAATTGCACTTTGTTCACAGAACCAGTTCTTGGTTGTTTCTCATTTTCTCAAGTTGAACTCTGAAAATTTGAATGATTGTATCGTTCATTATTGATTATGTCCAGCTGTTCCCCAGCTTCATTAAAGCCATGAATGTTCAAAGGGTCAACAACACACAGGTGGGATGGTCAAAATAGTACATCAATCAGATTACCGATGTATAGATGAAACACAGCTATCTCGGTAGAGTAACTGACCACGGACTAAAAGTTCTAGATTTTATCAATGTTTATTGTGCACTTTGTACTTAACTCTGATTGTTCAAGTCTACCCATCTGTAAAAATGAGTGACAGCATGCAGGGAAGTACAGCTGTGAAAGACTGGTGTCTCTCTTCAAAGACAATTATATTTTCAAGTTATTTAGAGACACTCTGGGTTAAGCTCTTATAGCTCCAGAAGATTTAAGTTTTTTTTCTGATTGACAAACCAAGAAGCGATAAGGATGAAGTCAACTTACGGATCAATAGTCTTTGGCAGCAGTGTTCCAAGCTCTTTTATTCTGTCATTTATATTAAATCGTCTTCTTCTTTCAACTACAAATGAAAACATTTGACAATGAGTTTGAGTTTTAGTTTTGACACTCACTTGTACATAAGATCTGCTTATACAGAAATTACTTAAATATTTTTCACCGTATTTGTTTTCAACAAATGCATAATATGATTTATATTCAATAATATTTTAAATATTTAACAAACAAACTAACTCATATTGTGGTTGTCCTTCTTCTGTCTGTCTTTCGCCCACATGCGGGACTCTTCCTCCGACATGAAAGGAGGTGTTTCGGCCCGTCTGAACGCAGCTGGACAGGAATTAGATGACTCTGTATTACCCGTCAGCTCGTGCACATTGTTAACCAAGTTGGACTGCGGCAGCTGCAGATATATCGTAGTAATAAAACATCAATGTGGAGTCAAATGCACAATATTTCTTATTTACTTTAATCTGTCTAAATAATAATTTTCTAAGTTAAGGAAAAACAGTGGAATCTGGTATTTCAATGGACAAAAAGAAAGTTTGAGATCTTCAAATTTTTAGAAAAAAATACAAGAATTCCACACTTTTAGTAAGAAAGGTGTTTTTGCTTGAGTTATCGCGTGAACAGATATGCCAAAACGCAGAAAAATGAAACTCGACAGAAAAACCTGTAATATATGTTGAACATAATTGCTTCTAGTATTACCGTAAAAAAAATTGAAAGGAATTGATTAAAAAATAAAAAAGTACTACACAATGCCCTTATTTGGCAATAAAAGGGGTATAACTCCATCAAAAATGCACTTAAACTTTTGCAGTATGTGCACCAAGTTCGAGTTCAATCAACCCAAGGGAACTCAAGTTATCACATGGAAACCTTGTTTTGGACGACGCAACCGACGCCAACGACAAAGTAATGCCTATATTTCGCCTCACGTTGCAGGCGACACAAAAAAGGGAAATATTGTCTGACTAAAAATCAAACATTTCAGTACTTTTTTTTTACAGTTTCTATAATATTTGGAGACGTATGCAAGCAAAAAAATCAATTCTTAAACTTTTTATTCTGCATTTCTTATCAGGCAAAACATGTATGGAAGATTTTTATAAAGGTCAGCGATCTAGTGTGGACATATGTGTGTGGCGTACTTACCATACAAAGAAGATGTTGCGTGAGAAAGATTTTACAAAAATGAAAGACTTATAATGATAGGCCAGAGTTTTCCTTAGAGGACTATAACGAGAGAAAGAATTAAGGAGGCACGGTAGTCTAGTGGTAGGATGCTTGGCTTGTGACCAAAGGATTGCGGATTTGAGTCTCGTCACAACACTGTGTTGTATCTTTGAGCAAGATACTTTACTCTGCTTGTTCCAGTCTACTCAGCTGTAAATGAGAACATGGTTGGGCAGTGCTAGAATTGTTGAATGCTAGCTAAGTGTTAGAGAGACTTACCGTGGAGGACATATGTGTAAGAGAGACTTACCGTGGAGGACATATGTGTGAGAGAGACTTACCGTGGAGGATATATGTGTAAGAGAGATTTACCATGGAGGACATATGTGTGAGAGAGACTTGCCGTGGAGGACATATGTGTAAGAGAGACTTACCGTGGAGGACATATGTGTGAGAGAGACTTACCATGGAGGACATATGTGTGAGAGAGACTTACCGTGGAGGACATATGTGTGAGAGATGGCTCTATGGAGTTGAGATCATGATCCACTGTGACATCGACAGGTTCTAGACTGAGAATATCGCTAAGAAGGTTGTCCATCTACAGCAAACAAAACAATGTTACATTTAGCATCAAAGTGAAATCAGTACTGTGTTAATTCAGTTTTAAAAGGCTAGAGAGTGAATATTGGGTGGGACAAAATCATTCTGATTTACAGGAACACAAATTCAAATGTTGACAAATGATATATTTTATCAGTTTACCATAAGATAAACAATATATATATGTATCCACAGAATTATTTTATAACCCTGTAAAAATGTTCCATATTATTTCCCTGATACACAATTCCCACCTACACTGATCACATCTCAAATCAAAAATGTTCTTTAACATAAATATCTTACTACATGTACTACAAATGTACGAGAAATGAACATAGTCTTGAATTCTTTGTGTTCCTACTTTTGAAGGTGATTGACAAGGTGCAATTTGGACAACTACTTCATGCTTGATTTGAGAAGTTTTCCATGTTATCAAAGTAATGAAAAATTGATGTTAATGGTCAAGGTAAAGTAAGATGCAGATCTGGCTCTATTTCTCATACGGTTAAAATCAAACGTATCTATGTTTGATAATGGCACTAACTAAAATCTCACAGTGGGAAATCTGGTAATGATGACAAGTGTAAAATATCTTCAGTGTGACTGAAGTTTCTTCTAGTAGAAGACCCTGGCTACGTAATTTGTTAAACAAGTAGCAAATCGTAACGTCTGGGACGATTTGTACAGAGTGAGTTTAGCTTTCGGACTGTTGAATCCAAATGTTTCATTTTATATGATTTCAAAAATATCAAAAATTAGAATTATAACGAAATGTCATTCAATATCAATATCCGGAGACAAGAAAACATTTGCACATTTTTTAAAATATTGTATTTTGAAAATCTACATTTACTTTTTAAGCTTATCAAGATTTAAACAAATGGTTCCAGATCACAACTTTTAACTATCTAGTCATCGAGCACTTTTGACATTTTGTATGTTAACACTGACTTACGTCAGAAACACTGGTGGCACAGCTACTCAGTCCAACAGACAGAGGACTGTCCGGGTCAACCGGCGCACTCCCACTCAGTCCTAATTCATTGGTGTTGATGGTCATTGTGGAGATATTTGGCAGAGACTGTATGGCCCCAGGACTGTCCAGGGACTTACTTAGGAATGCCTGGATCTGACGTTTTTTATTCTCCTGTACATGGAACAGTGTCGGATTTTTCAGCTGTGTCTGAACCTGCAAAATAACAATGATTATAGATGATGATTTGTAACAAGGCAAAGATTGCATAATGACTCATTACAACTATTTGATAGATTTGATCGTTAGGGTTCAAGAAAAGTTAATACTAAATATGTCACCTAAAAATATCAGTACTTCATAAAAACAAAATATCCAACAGTTGCCAAAAAATCAATAAAAAGAAAAAGTGGAATTCACATTTTTCACTCAGGAATAATTTAGTTATCATACTGAAAAAAAAAGAGATAAAAAAAAATAGTTAAGGAAATAATTACAAAAAATCTTAGAGAATTTATGGTTTCAATAAGGAAGTATCAGATCAGTAAACTCAAGTTTTCAAAATATTTGAATGTTTTAAAAATGTGTGCCTTGAAATGTCCATAAGAAAACCTACTTACACTAATGCAATCTTTCAATACTGAATCTTACAACAAGTTTCATCGACAGAAAATAAAGTGCTTAATCATATTGTGTAGGGACAGGAAATGATGAGTAGACTGTATCCCTGTTCCCTTGGGATTCCTGCTCTAACCTTTGTACCCTAAGTCTACCATCAGTCATCCCCTTTCAAGCTGTGAGGCTAAATCATATGTTTTACTCACTAAATATGTCTAATTATCAGACAATTTTCACGTCCAGACTGTCATCCCTCTGGCTCACATTAGACTGGCTATAAACAATCACCAGGACAAACCCATTGTGATTTTTCAGGGAAAAAAGGAGGGAATCTGATACTGGTCATCTGACAGAGAATGTAAGCGCGTATTTCCGTCTACACTTAAGACGACATTTTGTCTGTTAAATTGTCACCTCTGAAAGAAAAGGATGGGGGAGGGGGGCACATACACAGTTCCTGGCCTGGACATTGTATTTTCAATGATAACTACAGTTCAGGAGGGCGGTTTGTGTTGATTATCGCCTTGAACTCTTCACATTAGTGTACTTTGTCGTATTGGTGTACTTGAGACAGAGTAGTGTTGACAGTTGGCTCATCAATGAAACTTCTTGGGTTTTTTTCTCATTTTTCATAAAATCCTGTTCTGCTTGACTAAGGCTTTCACTCACATTTTTTTTTGAATCTTAAATATTTCTGGTTATCTATTGAAAAATTTGCATATATATTTTAAGGCTTTTATTGTTAGTTTTTTGCTTACAACATATCTTTACTTTCAGATCTGGCTCATTTGCAAATCTATAACAACCCAAACACCACTATGAAAATTACCATAAAATAATCAAATTGTGCATACATATTACAGGTGTACTTAGCAGGGACCTTAAGGCAACAAGGTATTCACAATGACTTTGAGGCCACAGTTTTTTTTACAATGATGCTGATGCCACAGCGGATTTCACAATGATATTGATGCCACAGTTTTTTTACAATGATGCTGATGCCACAGGGATTTAACAATGATATTGATGCCACAGGGTTTTTACAATGATGCTGATGCCACATGGTTCTTACAATGATGCTGATGCCACATGTTTTTTTACAATGATGCTGATGCCAGAGAGTTCTTACAATCATACTGATGCCACATTTTTTTTGACAATTATGCTGATGCCACAGGGTTCTTACAATGATCCTGGTGCCACTTTTTTTTGCAATGGTGCTGATGCTATATGGATCTTACAGTGATGCTGATGCCACATGGATCTTACAGTGATCCTGATGCCACATGGATCTTACAATGATCCTGATGCCACATGGATCTTACAGTGATGATGATGCCACATGGGTCTTACAATGATGCTGATGCCACATGGATCTTACAATGATGATGATGCCACATGGATCTTATAGTGATGCTGGTGCCACATGGATCTTACAGTGATGCTGATGCCACATGGATCTTGCAGTGATCCTGATGCCACATGGATCTTACAATGATCCTGATGCCACATGGATCTTACAGTGATGATGGTGCCGCATGGATCTTACAATGATGCTGATGCCACATGGATATTACAATGATGATGATGCCACATGGATCTTACAGTGATGATGATGCCACATGGATCTTACAATGATACTGATGCCACATGGATCTTACAATGATGATGATGCCACATGGATCTTACAATGATGCTGATGCCACATGCATCTTACAGTGATGATGATGCCACATGGATCTTACAATGATGCTGATGCCACATGGATCTTACAGTGATGCTGATGCCACATGGATCTGACAGTGATCCTGATGCCACATGGATCTTACAATGGTGCTGATGCCACATGGATCTTACAGTGATGATGGTGCCACATGGATCATACAATGATGCTGATGCCACATGGATCTTACAATGATGATGATGCCACATGGATCTTACAGTGATGCTGATGCCACATGGATCTTACAATGATGCTGATGCCACATGCATCTTACAATGATGATGATGCCACAGGGTTTTCACATTGTGTTTTGAAGCCACAGGGTTAATGATATGATCTTGTAGCATTGATCTACGGTACTATGATAAAACAGGTGTTACAAGAAAACCTTGGAAATGTTTTTCAAGGAGGAGGCCAAATCTTTTACATAGATTTATTCCTTACTAAGGGACAAAATTCATATTCATGTTTTAATTGTTGTAAATTTTCATAACAGAATCCAACCATTTTTTTATTTTTACATATGAAATAAAAAAAAATGAATAAATATATATAAATATAACCTTGAAATACATATTTTCTTACCTTGAGGATATGGACTGGGACTTCCCCAGAGTTGAGGGAGCTGGACATTGGCACCTGGATGACCTGAGGCTTGGTGGAGACATGACGATGGGACTGTGACAGAAGTGATGTGTCCTTCTCTCGCTCTACCTCCTCCGCAAGCTGCGCTTTCTGGAGCTGCTGCCTAAGGTTCGCCCGCAGTGGCATGTTCACATGTTTCAGTTCTACCTTCGGGCTGCAACCAAGAAATGATGTTTTTGAATATTTTTAACAGTTCCCCCTCGGTTCATAATACAATGTGTATCAATTGGATGGGCAATGTTCTAACATGTAACTTGAAATGAATGATTTGGTCGACATCCATTGTCCCTGCATGGTGTTTCAACTTGACTATAAACACTTTCTCAAAAATTTGACTTTGTTTTTGTTTTGTTCAGTGAGCGGAAAATGTGACTAATTTAACTTTGCAATAACATGTATACAGTAAACCTTTATAAGTATGTGAGGGTACACTGACCTTGAAGCCAATTTCCTTCATGCACAGTGAATTGGAAAATGTAGGTCACTAAGTTAGTTTTGATGTGTCACACACTTTTGCCCAAAAATGTAACAGTTCAAAATGTTTGGTAAACTTGTTTGAGAAGACAAAGGAAGCAATTGCCATAAATAATTACCATTGGAGAAGGACATGAGCACACACCCAGGCATGTGCACATGCACACACATCCCCATTATGTGCACACACACACCCATCCCCATTATGTGCACACACACACACACATCCCCATTATGTGCACACACACACACATCCCCATTATGTGCACACACACACACACATCCCCAGACATGTGCACACACACACACATCCCCATTATGTGCACACACACACACATCCCCATTATGTGCACACACACACACACATCCCCAGACATGTGCACATGCACACACATCCCCATTATGTGCACACACACACACATCCCCATTATGTGCACACACACACACATCCCCATTATGTGCACACACACACACATCCCCATTATGTGCACACACACACACACATCCCCAGACATGTGCACATGCACACACATCCCCATTATGTGCACACACACACACATCCCCATTATGTGCACACACACACACATCCCCATTATGTGCACACACACACATATCCCCAGACATGTGCACATGCACACACATCCCCATTATATGCACACACACTCATATACCCAGGCATGTGCACACACACATGCATACAATATACAAATGTAATGAAATCTAAGTTATGTTTCCATTGTTTTATGTATCAAATCCATTATACTATGCAAACTCCCACCATTTTTCTGCTAAATACAGGCCTGGAAATGTCAATTTCCTATTAAAGTTAAGTTATTTCCTCTCTATACATACAAACACAATTATACAATGTGTTGTGGGCCTATTCAGGGATTTGGAACTGTTCGAATCATTGCCAGAAATGTTGCGGAAAAGTATTTACATTACAAATATCAAGATAGATAGAGCCATGTAAAAGCTCCCTGTTTTATAACCAGATCAGGTCCAGGGATTGACCTCTATGGCAGAGGTGTTTTGGTAAAAACGGAAATTAGATAAAATATCATGAAAATTAAGATTTCCTTCGAATGTAAAACTCTTGGCTTTGTTAAATAGGCACACAACTACCAAATCCAAAAATATGCTGAACAAATTGGAAATCTTCTTTGTCGGAGATATAAACAAAACCACTAGGACGAACGTTCTTCCTTAACTGCTATGAATCAGATGCACATTCAGTTAGAAGACCTATAAATGTTTACCTAGGAAAATAAACATATTTCAAACAAAAGGCTAAGCCAGTCTTTTTGCACAGATCATTATATATTATCTTATCCAACAAAAAGCTGATTCAACCTATTTTTTCACAAGCTCCAAACAATAAACGATCATCATATTTACCTAAAGCGACACACCGGAAAAATGTTCACACCAATTTCCGACATCTTATTATCTTGTGTGTATTATGTTTGTGTATTTCTCAAATCCATGAAAGAAAATTAAAATCTTGCCTTTCTCACACAGGGATTCAGTGTCTGTCTTTGATGAAACACCTATAGTACATGTCTGTGTTAATACCCGAAATACTAAATCAACTACAAGATAAATGATGGCTCCCCTGTTGGACAATAGAGATAATGGCTGCTCCCACCGATAGGTAGACAGGTTAAAGATCAGGTTATGATTGTAGGATCATCCGAATTAACCTATATATCATGTGCAGATAACGTTCGGAGCATGTCAACACAGTAACAACAATGGGCCCACCCAATTTTCTCACACATTGAGCTCAAGCCCTGTAGTTCTTTCACTTATCCCTTCAGACACAATTTCCCCCCTTATTGTCATTTCAAATTCATTTTTGTTTCGTTTCATTTGTCTGTGCCATAAACCATTAACACAATTTAGCGCAAATTTGAATGGAGAAAGATAAATGCATATTTAGTAAAGCCCAGAAGCTCTCCTTAGCTGGCCTCTGATAATTTATCAATAATCTAGCGCAGACAAGATTGGGATAAGATTGCACAACCACAGCCACAACATGTAGGGGCGATGAAGATGTATTTATACGCAGTGAAACTTGTCTGGACTTAACACCTGACTGGGACCTGTATATAATAACGCAAGCATTATATATTAGATTCTGTTGTAATAAGCTGCATTGCTCATATCTCTATATCATATATCAAATTCAATTTCTTTTTGAAAAGTTTGTGTGATTTTAATGATATTTCGTTTATTTCATCTTTATTATTTCTGAGAAAAGTCCCTAAAGGCATTGTTTTCTATTTAGAAATGATTTATCAAAGCCTTAGTTATGCAGAAAAATAACCTCCAGTCATTAATTACGGTTTTAGTGGAAAGGGGATCCTTGAGGAAGTCACTGGGATTCGAACCCTGGACTTCAGATTGTTATACCATCGCCCTAACAGATTGAGCTACCTGGTCATCAGAAGTAGTCTAAAACAAATGTGGTCTAGTTATACCCAAACGGAGGTTAACTCATTCACCCCTGAAGTTTCATAATGAACTATTCCAACCTTTGAATTGGAAGAGTTCAAATGTGTCTTCAGGGGTGAATGAGTTAAGGGGAGGTTACTGAATGTAGTAAAAACCATGGTGCAGTGTGGGACAGCGATCTTTAAGCTGTCATTAATATTCTTGCTGGTCACTGTTTACATTTTAAAATAAAATTATAAAACTTTCATTACTAGGGCTGCCTCAAAAATAAAATTATAAAACTTTCATTACTAGGGCTGCCTCTAAAATAAAATTATAAAACTTTCATTACTAGGGCTGCCTAAAAAATAAAATTATAAAACTTTCATTACTAGGGCTGCCTCTAAAATAAAATTATAAAACTTTCATTACTAGGGCTGCCTCTAAAATAAAATTATAAAACTTTCATTACTAGGGCTGCCTCTAAAATAAAATTATAAAACTTTCATTACTAGGGCTGCCTAAAAAATAAAATTATAAAACTTTCATTACTAGCGCTGCCTCAAAAATAAAATTATAAAACTTTCATTACTAGGGCTGCCTCTAAAATAAAATTATAAAACTTTCATTACTAGGGCTGCCTAAAAAATAAAATTATAAAACTTTCATTACTAGCGCTGCCTCAAAAATAAAATTATAAAACTTTCATTACTAGGGCTGCCTCAAAAATAAAACAATATCTATGTAATTGTTATAAGACCCTGTTTAGCAGTCAGACACAATTTGGCATTGACAACGAGAGTCAATCAGGCACACCAGGGTTCATATGTTCTAAGACCTGAAGACAGACCAAGGAGAGAACTAGGTGCACCAATTAACAGTTTAGTTGCACTAATAAATCAGATGTAATCTGGATTGCTGAAACATTAGTATACAAATCAAAGTACTTTCAGATGTCACTTTCCCCCATTAGGAACATAGAATCTGATTACCAGAGAATGCAAAGACGAAACATAAAACACACAATGGGCATACTCTATCTTCAAAGTATGTTGATCATTTAAGTGATTTATTCGGAAAAAAATATCAATGGTTGTGAAACAAGATCACTGATAAAAGTATAAAATGCAACACATTTCGTGAAATTTAGAAAAAGTTTCAAATCTTCAGGACACGCATCTTAGAGATCTTGATGACATGGGAGATTTTCTGAAATTCCAGATAGTTAAAAGACACAAAAAATCAGCCACTAAATCACGAAGAAAATGATAATGCTATGTGACAGCTAGAATACCCAAGGGATACAACCTGTGTATATTGTAAAAAAGTGTTTTATTCAACATTTGATAAGAGCTGTATGTTCTATACTCTTTCATTTAATGTATAATGACCATATATATATTACAACAATAACATATAATCTTGAAAAAGTAACGAGACAATGGAAAGATGAGACAATGGAAAGACGAGACAATGGAAAGACGTCTACAAAAAGACAAATGCTCAAATACAGGATTTCTGAAATGTACCTTTTTCTGCAAACACCAGCTGTGGCAATTAAAAACAAGAGCACCGCAAACGGATGCATAATACACCCACCCGTCTGACCCTATCCAATGTTTTTTTGTTTGTTTGTTATTTAAAGGACCTGGTAGGCAGTGTCATGTCTATGTGATAAAAAAATATTTTCATGATCTAACTGAACTGTTCATCACTGAAGAAACTTGCACCAAAACCATAACCTAGAAATTGCGCGAGAAAAGTTAGGTCCCAAACACGTCCAAAATTTCGAAAAATAGAAATTATTTTCCCACACACCAAAACTAAGCTTAATCAATAAGTTCTTCTTCTCTTGGGCAGCTCACACACAAAGTCTGAACCTTGTGCTAACAATTGTTTTAAAATTAGTATCTGGACAAGGACATTTTATTTTTAGTTACAGTGACCTTGACATCTGATGGACCAGTCGACCCCTTACAGTCATGTTTCTTCCTATTTCCTTAGGCAACTTACATCATCTAGCAAGTCTAAGAAAAGTCTAAGAAGTCTAAGCCTCATCTCAGATCATTTGCTCTGAAGTAAGGATCCATACAAGAAAAAAATATTTTTTCAGTATTAGTGACCTTGACCTCTGACAGACCTCCTATTTTCTAGGGTAACTCACATACCAAGTCAAAGCATTATGTAATCATTGTTCTGAAATTTAACTCATTCACCCCTGACGACACATTTGAACTCTTCCAA